TTTTTATATAGATTAAAAAATTAGTGCTCAACCATGGTAAAAAAAAAATTGGAAAATATAAAATCCCCTTACCTAGCAGTGATGGTTAATATTTAGCTATATTTCCCTTTTATTACTCTTTACAGCAGTTTAGAATGATTCACACAGTTGATGTCATACCATGACGTCATTTTCTAATCTGCTTTCCACTTGGCATTCAAATGTAAGCATTGTCCATGGTATGTAGGGTCTTTGTTGCTAATTTTAAATGGCCTTATAATAGTCCAGAGAGTGGCTCTCCATTGATTCTTTAATCCCGTCTGGTTCCTCTCCCCACCTCGTTACATTCCAGCCACACTGGTTTGCTTGGCATTCCTTTAACACACCATGCTCATTTCTGCCCCAGGACCTTTGCACTGCCTCCTCCTTCAACCTCTGAAGCACTTCCCTGGTTCTTTATGTAGTAGCTCCTTCTCACCCTTCATAGCTCAGTTAATGTATCACGACTTCAGATAAAGCCCGCTTTGACCACCATAGATATCAAACGACTCCTTCAGTCTCTCTTGATCTCAGCACCCTGCTTTAGTTTCTGTTTGGCAGAGAGCAGAGGGAACTTTATAATTTTATGGCCAGAAATGATCTTATCTATTTGTTTACTTGTCTACTGTCACACTCCCTCAACGGACTATAAGCTCCATGAGGACAGGCACTTTGTTTGTCTTGCTCATTGATTTCGGTGGCAGACATAGTGCCTGTCACATCGAGGGAGCTCAGTCAACATGTACAGAGTAAGCAGATGGCTGGTTAGATGGTTGGATGTGTGATTGGATGAGGAGTTGAAAGATAGGTAGGCGGCTTGCAGGGGATAGTGCACGCCTGGATGGATAGGTAAATGGATATGTGGGTGGGCGAATCAATCCTAATTTTACTAACTATTCCCCAATTTCACATTTAGAGTGCTTCCCCATGATATTTTTAATCGCTTTGAAAAAGTAAGCAATGCAGGTCAGGCGCAGTGGCTCACGCCTGTAATCCCAGCACTTTGGGAGGCCGAGGCGGGCAGATCACGAGGTCAGGAGACCGAGACCATCCTGGTTAATACGGTGAAACCCCGTCTCTACTAAAAATCCAAAAAAATTAGCCGGGAGTGGTGGCAGGTGCCTGTAGTCCCAGCTACTCGGGAGGCTGAGGCAGGAGAATAGCGTGAACCTGGGAGGCGGAGCTTGCAGTGAGCCAAGATGGCGCCACCGCCTGGGCGAGAGAGCGAGACTCCGGTCTCAGAAAAAAAAAAAAAAAGAAAAGCAAAAAAGAAAGAACAAGTAAGTAATGCAAAAATGCAAATGGCAAGGAAGTCTGATAAGCAAGTCTCTTGGGAAAGCTGACTCCTCCAGGGCCATTGCCTAGGGGTCCAGGCCTGGGCGGTTGTCCAAGCTCCCTGCTGAGGGGGCTGGCCTGGAGATTGGGAGGGTGCTGAGATTCTCCGGGGTCCTCTTGGGCGTTCATTCACCCCCCCATGCCCAGGGCCTCACTGCCACGCCTCTGTTTTGTCCCCTGTGCAGTGGGCCGGAAGCAGTTCATGAGGTTTGAGTGGGCAAACTATGCAGCCGAGGCCCTCGGCTGCGAGTATGAGGAGCTGAACACGGCCACCTTCAAGCACCACCTTCGACAGATCATCCAGCAAATGACGTTTGGGCCAAGCCAAAGGGGCCTCGAGGACGAGGAAACCAGCTCAGGTACGAGGCTGCTGCCTCTCTGGGTGAGCTGGGCCCCCTCTGGGCCAGCTCCTGGGGATACACCAGCATTCTTTAACTTTTTTTTATCAAAGATTTGTTAAGGGCCTACGCTATGAAGGCCTGTGTTAGGTGCAGGGGAAGCCATCGTGGGTGGAAAGGGACATTGTTTCTACCTGGTCAATGCTAATGCTCAAATAACTACCTCGGTTCAGTGGTCATGAAGGCTGCTGAAACCTGGCAGGGAGCTCCGCGCTGTGGGGAGGGGATGCCATGGGCAGGGCCAATGGACCAATGCATTTCCATTGGATTTCATGTTTGCTGAGCACCTGCTAGGTAGGGGAAAGACTAGTCTTTCTGTTTGAGGAATGGAAATAAAGCCCGAATGGCTGGTGCGAGGTGGACGGATGGGAGAAGATGAGGGTGGAGAGCAAGGTGTGGTCAGCTCACTAAGGGTTTATAAACGAAGGTTTTTATTCTCAGACCCTTGGGAAGCCTTGGAGTGCCTTCAGCAGGGGGATGGCATGATTTGGCTTTAAGAAGCTCAGCCTGGTTGAAGGTTGGGGAGTGAGTGGGAGAAGGGAGACCCACTGGGAACCTATAAAACTCACCAGGTGATAGGTGGTGGTGGGAAGTGCTTGTGGAGATGGGGCAGGTGGGGACAGATTCAGGGTCTGGTTTACAAGCTGAGGTGTTAGCGTGGGCCCTAAGAGAAGGGCAGAGACCAGCAGTGGCTGCTAGGATTTTGGCCTGAGCAGCTGGAAGAACAAGGGCGTTTTGAACTGCCGTGGGGGAAAAGCAGGAGGACTTTGTACTGTACCTGCAAGGATGTGATCTGCCGAGGATGTGATCTGCCGAGTCCCAAGTCTGCAGCCTCTGTGCATCTTTGGGGGCTCTCTAAGAGCTGCTGTCCTTGAGACAACAGAGTTTGGGATTAATGAGTAGAAGTGTTGTGAGCTGTGGTTTTGGGACCCGTCTCTTGGAGCTCCTTTGCACCTTTGGCATTGCTTCCACCTTCCAGGGACTTCGGCATAGGGGCTAATGTCACTTGGACCCCATTGGCCCTCTGTATCTCCTTTCAGGTCTGTGCTCTGGTGTGAGCTGTGCTTTTCTTGAAGATTACCTCTCCACTTTGACATACACACACATTCACAGAAGCATGCACACACCACACATATGCACAGCACCAGTTGTGTATGCACACCTGTGCACAGATACACACCACAGAATCACACACATGAACACACACATGCACAGACACCAGCACACATATACTGCAAGCATGCACACCACACACATGCACAGATATACATGGCATGTGTGTGTGTAAACATGTGCACAGATATATATGACACATGCACATACCACACAACTACACACACATGCATAGACACAAGCACACATGTGCACACATATGCACAGGCACAAACACCACACACATACTTAAGGACGGGCGCATCACACACAGGCACAGACACATGCAGTCACCACTTTGTGAGTCTGAGTTAACCTCTCAGGCTGAGGTCTCAAGAGTAGACATTAAGCAGGCAGGGGACCTTCCGGCTTAGGAGAGAGGCTGGGAGGCTGCGGGTTGCCTAGCAACAGCCCAGGTTGGGGGTGGATTCCAAGGAGGGGTGGGAAATGCTTTCGGGGCTGCAGTGGGCTGCCTGGAATGTACAAGCAGAATTACTCCTCCAGGCACTAGTGCACACCGATTTGGAAACTGTGTTTTCAGTTTTTTAGACGGAACTAAAACTTAAGGGACATAATTTGTGATCTGACCCCCTACACTCCTCACTCTGCTTTGTTCAGTGCACCCTAATCAAGGCTGGTGATTGTAATGGGATGCGTATACGTGCGTGCATGCGTGTGTGTGTGTGTGTGTGTGTGTTAGAGCAAAATCGAGTCCACAACTGTAATTATAGTTTTTGAGCTTTTATATTCCTCCTGACATTCTAGGTAGGCACTTTTCCAATCTCATTCAATATTCTTCATACCTGACTTTAAGCATTCCTTTGTATGGGCAGACTACAAATTACCTAACCCATTTTCTATTGTTGAGCACTCAAGTCATTTCAAAAAAGTGATTTTTGCCAATTTAATCAACAATTGGAAGAACCTATGTCCCCAGCAAGCTTTATTTCTCTGAATGTTTCATTAGAATAAAAGCCTAGGAGTGAAATGATTAGGTCCCAGTATACGAACATTTTATGACTTCTAATACAAAATAGCCAAATTTCTTTCCAGAAAAGGAATCATAAACACTTACTGAGTGTCTACTCTATGCCAGACGCTGGCAATTTAAAGATCAATAAACCCAGGGACAGGGTCTATCTTCAGGGCACACCCAGCCTCATGAGGGAGACACAGGTTAATAAAATAACTATACTAGAAAGATTATGCTATGGGAAGTGCTATTAGAAGCAAGGTAGAGCTGGGGATTGGCCTAGTGGTGGTGGTGGTGGTAGTCAAGGAAGGCTTTCCTGAGGAGGTGACATTTAGGCTGAGCCCTGAGGGATGAGCAGGAGATCACTCTGGGGTGAAGGTAGGGCAGGTTACATAGGACCCTGTAGGCCCTGATAGGACAGTTAGACTTTGTCCTAAGAACCTGGGGAAATAATTTCAGCAGTGGAGGGATGTGGCAAGAAAAGAAGGATTTTCTAAGCTGAGTGGCCCCTGCTGCTCTGCAGTGATGTCCTTGGCCCCAGGCAAGATCCCTAACCAAGAATGCTGATTCTGTCCTCTTTCCCAGGGCTCAAGATGACAGGAGTGGAGTGTGTGGAGGGGATGGCCTCGGGCCTGTACCAGGAGCTCTTTGCAGCCGTGGTCTCACTCATCAACAGGTAACGGGGCCTTTCCCTAGGCACACAGTTGGCCTTTTGCAGGTGCACAGATGAATTCACATACCGGGCAGTTGAGCAAAGTGGCAGTTTTTCAGCTGGCGAGAGGGTTTCTAAGGTGGACAGTGCTGGGTTTAATTTCCACCTTGGCCACCCACTGGCTGTGTGGTCAGTAATCAGTTCACTTTTCTGATCTCCCTTTCCTCGTCTGTACAATAGCTCTCTCCCCAAGGACTGTTGTGAGGATTAAAAGAAAAAATGAATTTAAATAACTCTTCCTGGCCAAACGTGGTGGCTCATGCCTGTAATCCCAGTACTTTGGGAGGCTGAAGTGGGAGGATCACCTGAGATCAGGAGTTCAAGACCAGCCTGGCACCATGGCGAAAACCTGTCTCTACTAAATATTACAAAAATTAGCTGGGCATGGTGGTGGGCGCCTGTAGTCCCAGCTACTCGGGAGGCTGAGGCAGGGAGAATTGCTTGAACCTGGGAAACAGAGGTTTCAGTGAGCCGAGATCACGCCACTGCACTCTAGCCTAGGTGACAGAGCGAGACTCTGTCTCAAAACAAAACAAAACAAATTCTTGTAAAAATACCAACAATAAAAGCTAAGCACTTTTGAATGTCTACTGAGGGCCAGGGATTGTACTAATTGTTTAACCTGCTTTGCGTCACCGAGTACTCACATGGACCCATTGTACAGAGGAGGAGACTAAAGCGTGAAGGGGAGAACCGAGATGCAAACACAATGCCACATTCTCATCTCATACTTTCAGTTCCCCTGAATAGCCTAGCACATTGTTCTCATCCATTTATTTTTCAAAATTGTCTTGCTGGGGATGGGAGCAACATGGTAGAAATTTGGAGTGGGCCGGGGTGTGCCTCTGATGTGCCTCTGTGGGGCTGCAGGCCAGAGGAGCCTCTGTTTTCTATCATTATGCACAAGGCACTGAGCCCATGCTTGGAAACCCTTGAAGCCGTTTTTTCAGCAGAGCTAATCCAGAGCCTAGGCAAAGGCTTGCCTTCCTCCTCTGTGAAAGCAGAAAGCATAATTAGGCTTCTGAAATCCTGTTAAAGGGATGAGGCTGGCGCGTAGCAACAGAGCAGCCGGGTTTCTCCAAGTTGTCGTGGACACAGAATCAAGTCCCTCTGACGCTGCCGAAGTAATTACCATCTGAGCCCACAGACATATTATCTAGAAACCAAGGGGATCATGCGTGCTTAGAGAAGGGAGTACTGGGAGTGGGAAATGAACTGCTGGCGGAGGAAACTGCCTTCACCAGTGAAGGGCAGCTGCTTCGAGGTTTGGGTTCTCAGAGGCCACGTCTGTGAAATGCTGCACTGATGATCAAAGTACCTACTACAGCATTTATAAGCACCTAGTAGGTGTCTGTCTTGCCAAGAATTAACCGACTTTATCTTCATGCATGTCTATGTGGTGGCTGCTCTTATTATCCCCATATTATAGTTGGAAAACCTTAGCAAACAAGAGAAGAACCAAGGTTCAACTACGGGCCCTGCAAAGCTCCTAGCTGATCATACTCATGGTGATGATAGCAGGTGGCATTTACTGAGCACTAACCACGTGGCAAACTTTGCTTTCACGGCCACGGAAGCTTATCACACCCAACCCTCACAACAGCCCTCTGAGCTAGTCACCATCATTAACTGAGACGGTGGCTGAGACGGTGGAGGCTCAGAGAGGTTGGGCAACTCTTCAGAGACACACATCCTCTCTGTCACAGAGCAAGGATTGAAGCCCACATATGACTGGCTCTAAAGTCTCTTAAGTCCTGATTTTTGATGTGAATAATCCCTGCTCTGTCCACCCCTACAGATTCATCAGAAGAATACAAGGAGGTGATAGCTTGGAAGAATTTTGTAAACTGATGTATTAAATAAAATAGTTTTTTGATTTTAATAGGCCTCTGAAGAAAGGAAAGGAGGGCCTAGGCTTCACATGGTAGCCGACTTGCTGGGTGACCTTAAGCTAGTCATTTTTTTTTTTTTTTTACTTTGGGCCAGTGGGAGGCAGTTTAATTCCTTTAGTCCTTATAGCTGTCCCTGGGATAAATCTACTCACCCCCATCCTCATTTAACAGTTGGGGAAACCCCTGCTCAGAGAGGTTAAGTAGCTTGCCTGAGGTCACACAGCCTGTAAGAGTTGAGCTTAGTTTTGAAACCAGTTCTACTGGAGGCTTGGATAAGTGTGCTCCTAGATTCCATGCCATCTCAGACATTTCACCTCCCTCTTCTCTGTCTAGATCCTTCTCCTCCCACCATCTCTCCATGGCCTCCATCATGGTGGTGGACTCTCCAGGCTTCCAGAACCCCCGGCACCAGGGCAAGGACCGGGCGGCCACCTTCGAGGAGCTGTGCCACAACTACGCCCATGAGCGCCTGCAGCTGCTGTTCTACCAGCGGACCTTTGTCTCCACGCTGCAGCGATACCGAGAGGTAGGCCTGGGCTGGAGCAGGGCCCTCACCAGAGCTCCATGGAGGGTGTGAGGTCAGATGTGAAGTGTGGGATTCCCATTCCCCAGTAGCCTGCAGCTTCACCCTGTTCGGTTCACCGGGGAACAAAGCCCTTTCCCCAGGCCTGGCTCCCTAGACCTCTGCTGCTCCCTCCACAGTCCAGCCTCCTCCCGCCACCTTCTGAACCCCGCAGCCCAGAAGCACCAAGGAACTTGGACTTCCCCAGGCCTTGCTTCCATGGCTGTCCTTTCTTTGGGATGACTGCTTCATCCTCTCCCGCTTCACTTAAGCAAAAGGCTCCTGCAAGAGTCAGTCTACATCTGCCCGAGTGGGGAATGTCCTTCGAGTCCTGTGGGTGGGTGGAAGCAGTGGGCTGCACACCCCTCTGCAGCACAGCACGGTGATTCTCACAAAGTTGAAGGTGCATGCACCCCAAAACCCAGCAATTCCTCTTCTAGGAGGCACCTGAGAGGAACTCTGTGTGTGAACCAGGAAGCATGTACAGGCCTGATCCTGCCAGTCCTTATTTTCTCATGAAAAAAGAAAAAAAAAAAAAGGTTAAGTTGAAATATAAGGCCAGGCACAGTGGCTCATGCCTGTAATCCTAGCACTGTGTGAGGCCGAGGTGGGCGGATCACCTGAGGTCAGGAGTTCAAGACCAGCGTGACCAACATGGCAAAACTCCATCTCTACTAAAAATACAAAAATTAGCCAGGCGCAGTGGCGCGGGCCTGTAATCCCAGCTACTTGGGAGGCTGAGGCAGGAGAATCACTTGAACCCGGGAGGCAGAGGTTGTGGTGAGCTGAGATTGTGCCGCTGCACTCCAGCCTGGGCGACAAAGAGAGACTGCATCTCGAAACAAACAAACAAAAAATTACAAAGAAAAGGGCATAAATCAGAAGCATATAGCTCAGTGAATTTACCCAAATGAACATACGTGTGTCTCTATCACCCACGTGAAAATGAGAGGATTTTCAGTTCCCTATATGACTCCCACCTTCTTCCCTGAAGGTGTGACCACTTTTATTGCAACAAGTGCTACTGGCAGAATATTAAAAATGGCCATATTGTTCATCAGTTCAATAATATAGAATAATAAGTATTGAAGTTACAGTCATTTCTTTAGTTGGTGATAAAAATAAAGCACCAACATAAATGGATCTCAAACAGATGACGCTGATGAAACCTGAGGTCTGATCCCAACTCTGTCGCTTATTGGCTGTGTGGCCTTAGGAAAGGCACTTACCCTCTCTGACCCTCGATTTTTTTACGTGGAAAACAGAGATAATAATACTTTTGTATCAGTTACGATTTGCCATAATAATGCTACATAATAAACTACCCCCAAATGTAGTGTTTTAGAAAAAATCTTTGGTTGTTGCTCACAAGTGTCTGGATGGCCTGGACAGCTCTCTTGGTCCAGGATAGTTCTTGAGCTTGTGTTCAGATTCAGGTGTAGGTTGGGGTAGATGGCTCTGGTGATCTTGGCGGGGCTCTCTCACGTGTGGGATCAGCTGGTTGTGAGCGGATCTAGGCAGGCCTTGTCTGGGGTAACCTTGTCCCTGCTCTACAAATGTCTCATCCTCCAGCAGGCTAGCCTGGGCTGTCCTCATAGCGCTGGGCAGGGCTCCAGGAGAGCAAGCAGAAGTGGGCAGGGGACCTTGAGGCCTAGACCTGAGGCTTGCACAAAATCACTTCCACTGTGTTCAGTGAGTCACAACAGGTCTAAGGCTGAGCATGGATTCAAGGGGTAGGAAAACAGGCTCCACTTCTTGATGGAGGCACTGCAGTGTCACTGCAGAGAGTATGGATATAGAAAAGTGCAGAGAACTGGGGTTGTTTTATGGTCATTGTTACCATACTCCCCAAAGGGGCCGTTTTGAGCATTTAATGAACAAGAATAAAGAGTATAACAGCTATTTTATTTTTCCCATAATATTTCACTTATTTCTGATTATCAAAGTAATACATTTTTAATTAAAACACTGGAAACTTCATATAAGTACAAAGAAACTAAAAGATACAATCTCCTTTAGCCCTCCCATCCAGAGGCAACCACTGTTACCATTCTGTTTTTTTTGTTTGTTTGTTTGTTTGTTTGTTTTTACCATTTTCCCTTTATTATGTTGTCTGTGGATTTTGGATCTTCCTGTACACGTGAGTTTGTTGTCTCTCATTTTCCTCACAGTATTACATTGTTCACATCACCTCCCTTCACTTACAAATCTTAGTAAACCTGCTTGCAGTGGTTGCATCTGATTGTATTTCCTCTCCTATAGACATCAGGGTGGTTTCTAAGTTCGAGGCTTTGTAGACAATACTGTGATGAACATCTTTGTCCACAGCACTTCCCAGACATTTCTGGTGACTTTTTAAATTTTTTGTTTTTTAGATGGAGGCTCGCTCTTGTTGCCTAGGCTGGAGTGCAATGGAGCGATCTTGGCTCACTACAACCTCTTCTTCCTGGGTTCAAGTGATTCTCTTGCCTCAGCCTCCCAAGTAGCTGGGATTACAGGCACCTGCCACCATGCCCGGCTAATTTTTGTATTTTTAGTAGAGACGGGGTTTCACCATGTTGGCCAGGCTGGTCTCGAATTCCTGACCTCAGGTGATCCGCCTGCCTCGGCCTCCCAAAGTGCTTGGATTACAGGCGTGAGCCACCGCACCTGGCTTCTGGTGACCTTTTTGTGGCAACTATTATTCCTCATAGTTTACACTTGTTACTTCCAGCACCGAACACTCAGCCTCATTATGTTCTCAGTAAATATTTTAAAAGTGTGGACTGAGTTACCAGTTTCTGATAAAGCTGTCAGCGTGATGGCTGACACCCTGTATGATGAGCAGAATGTCATTGGAGCGTTGATTGACAATTTTTCTTCCCACACAAAGGCTAAAAGGTGATGAATAAACAACCTCATTAACAACTGGGAAAATTAATTAAACAGACATTTCTCCAAAGATTTACAAATGCACACAAAAAGAAGCACACCATCACAAATTGTAAGAGAAATGCAAATCCAAACCACATTGAGACACCACCTCCCACACATTATAATGTCTACTAAAAAAAAAATCAGAAAATAACAAGTGTTGGGGTGATGTGGAGAAATTTCAACCCTTGTGCGGTATTGGTAGCAATGTAAAATAGTGCAGCCGCTCTGGAAAACAGAATGGTGGACCTCAAAACATAAAAAAAATAGAATTCCCACGTAATTCAGCAATTCCATGTCTGGGTATATACTCAGAAGAATTGAAATCAGGGACTCAAACGGGTATTTGTGCACCAAACTGCAACATTATTCACAATAGCCGAAAGGCAGAAGCAACCCACGTGTGGATTGCAATTGACAGGCAATGGACAAGCAAAATGAGATATGCACATCACGAGATACGCACTTACTGGGAAGTATTATTCAGCCTTCAAAAGGAAGGACATTCTGACAAAATGGCACAGGCTGGATGAACCCTGAGGACTTTATGCTAAGTTACGTAAGTCAGATACAAAAGGACAAATACTATATGATTTCACTTACATAAGCTACTTAGAAAAGTCAAGATCAGAGGCACAGAAAGCAGGATGCTAGGGGAGAAGGAAACAGGGAGTTAAGTCTCCTGGGTACAGAGACTCCGTTTTGAAAGATGAAGAAAGTTCTGGAGATGGTTGCTGGTGATGGATGCATAACAACGTGAATGTGTCTTATACCACTGAACTATATACTTAAAATGACTAAAATGGTAACTTTTTTGCTATGTATCTTTTGCCAAAATTTTTAAAACCTTTTTTTTAAAGGGCCAAGAGGTGATTGAAGTCCTCTCCGCTTTTTCCTTCTTCAAAACTTTCTTCCCTCTTCAGCTCACTGAAAGCGCTAACTTTTAAATCCTGCGATTTTTTTCCAGGAAGGTGTTCCGGTGCAGTTTGACCTCCCAGAGCCCTCCCCAGGGACCACTGTGGCTGCTGTGGATCACAATCCCTCTCAGGTAACACGGGGCCCAGCCAGCCCAGGCTCTCAGATGCCGGCTGGCCATGTTTGAAATGCTCGTGGATTTGAGTCTTCAGTCTACTAGTTGTCAATGCCGTCTGCACCTAGAGTCACCCCGGGATCATTGGAAACGTGGATGCCTGGGACCCACCCCCAGATTCTGTGTTAATTGGTCTGGGTTGTGGCCTGAACAATGGAAGTTTAAGCGTCATCAGGTTGAGAACCGCTGCTCTCCTTTATGTCTGAGTCTATGTCTTAGACTAGCCCCATGCCTGGGAGGCTGAGGCCTGAGCCAAAGTGAGTTCAGGGCTCACGACCAGAGGCCTCCGGCCACTCTGGCCTGCAAAGGTCAGATGTTTGAATGAAGGTGCTGTTCCCAGAAGAGACTGGGGACCTTGGGGGACTGGAGAACAGGGGACCATGTTGGGTGCAGGGCCCTGAACTCACTTAGGGGCAGACAGGCGTTAGTTTGAGGGAAGCTGAGTCTTTACCTCACTCTCTCCATCCCTAGAACTCACTTTGCTACCCCAGATCTGCACCTCTGCTCAACTCAGAACTGCCCGTGACAATTTCACTTGATTTTTTTGTCTTCCTCTTCACATTTTAGTACAGAAGTGCTTGGGCCATGGAACCTGCCATGCTTGGGTCCAATCTTGGTGACCTTGGGTGTGTTGCTTCACCTCTCTGAGCCTCAGTTTCCTCATTTCCAGAATGGGGATGCTATTTTCTCTGGGTTGCTGTGAACATCAATGAGATATTGCACATAAGGCACCTGATATGATGCTTGGCACACAGGAGGTACCCTGCTGGTGGCATCTCTCCTGCCATCTAACACTGCAGGCTGCCCCTGTCCTTTTCTTCCTTCCTTGTCTCCTGCTGACCAGAGTTGGCTTGCAAACTTTCTCTTGGCACACAGTGGGCTGCACCCATCATTGCAAAGCCCTCTCCTGTGTAAGCCCGGCTGGCTGTTCTCAGCTCAGTGTGTTCTGGTTGGCATCTGTCTGGTTTATTTCCTTCCACACTGTGCTTCCTCACCTGTGCCTCTCCTGGGAAAGGGTAGACCTGAAGGGCTGATTTAGCAGTGTTGGCTGGGAAGGGCAGGGGGCAGGGTAGTCTCCAGGACCTGTGGCTGCACAGCTACCTTCTGTCTTTCTTGCTTGCTTTCTTGCTTTTCTTTCCTTTCTTTTTCCTTTCTTTTTCCTTTTTCCTTTCTTTTTCCTTTCTTTCCTTTCCTTTCTTTCCTTTTCCTCCCTTCCTTCCTTCCTTCCTTCTTTCTTTCTTTCTTTTTCTTTTCTTTCTTTCTTTTCTTTTGAGACAGAGTCTCACTCTGTCACCCAGGCTGGAGTGCAGTGGCATGATCTCAGCTCACTGTAACTTCTGCCTCCCGGATTCAAGCGATTCTCGTGCCTCAACCTCCTGAGTGGCTGGGATTATAGGCATGCACCACCATGCCCAACCTTCACAGCTATTTTCTGAGGACCTTCTGAGCATGGGCTGGCTATCAGTTTCAGCACCAATGAAAAAGGCTGAGGTGAAGGATGCCTGGGATCCAGTTCCAGCTCTGCATCTTTGGCTCTCCATCCATGAGACCCTGGATGTGCCCCCTTCCCCTCTCCAGGCCTCTGAGGGGTGTGGATTCCTCAGTTAGGGTGACCAACTGTCCTGGTTTGCATAGGACTTTCCCAGCTTTAGCACTGAAAGTTTCATGTCCCGGGCACAGTAGGACAGTTGGTCACTGTGCATATTGCATTTCCTCTATAACCACTTGCTGGCCTTCTTTTGGTTGTGCCAACTCCTTGTGGGCCCTCAGAGAGGCCCTTTAAACTCCCCAGGCCTCTCTCAGTTTCCCATATGCACCATTACAGGGTTGACTAGATGGTCTCTGAAGCTTATGGCTAGATTTAAAATTCTACGTCTGTGCTATTGAATCATGTTCACCTTCTCTGAAATGTTCTTTGAGTGCTTATTGTTTTTTTTTCCTCCCCAAGATTTTAGTTTAAAGAATACAAGGACTTTTTAGAGGAAACGAGGCAGACAGAATTAATCCTTTCTCATTTGATTGTGCACAAATAGACCAGCTGCCTGTATGTATCTAGAAATGTGCAATGCCCAGAAGGTTCCCCTTGTTAAATCCTCACCACGGCCCTCCAAGGAAGGTATTTTCAGTCTCCATTACACAGGAGGAAACAAGGCTCAGAGAAGTGTAGTAAGTTGCCCAAGACCACACAGGAGGTGAGCACAGAGGCAGGATTTGGACAGCTTGCAAATGAGCAGTTGCTGTCGTTTCGTGGCTTCAACACTGAGTCTGGGGTGAATGGGAGCTTGGTTTTGGGTAGGCACATTCTGAGTCCTGATGCTTGGGACTTGGATGGTCCCATTCCCCTTCGGTGGGAAGAGAAGCCCAAGACAGGCCTCTGATGGGGATCAGGGCCCTTCAATGAATCCTGGGTCTCCCACCAGGTCCGCTTACCAGCTGGAGGAGGTGCCCAGGATGCCAAAGGCCTTTTCTGGGTCTTGGATGAGGAAGTCCATGTAGAGGGCTCCAGTGACAGTGTGGTGCTCGAGCGTCTGTGTGCTGCCTTTGAGAAGAAAGGAGCTGGGACTGAAGGTAAGGAAGCAACGAGCTGGGGATGGGGCCTGAGTCCAGCCTGGGTGTTGGAATCTGTCCTTCTCAGCTGCAGAAAAAGGCCTGAGAAGGCCTGCACAGAGGCTCCAACATGCAGAGGTGAATGTGCATGAGCCTGTGTGTGCTTTCATTCATTCCAGTATTCAACGAACACATTGAGCAGCCACTATGTGCTGGGTACTGTTCCATGTGGTAGTTAACCAGCCTGGAGTGGGCCACGTCCTCATGGGGAAGGGACAAGCTCACAGCCAAGCACACGTGTGCACACTGAGCCTGCAACTGCACTCTGATGGGGCGCATCAGGGTGCATCTCATTTTTCTGGTAGCCAGTGGGAGATGCATGCAGATGAATCTAACAGAGAGCCAGGAACATGATGCAGGACAAGTTTGGAGATGGCTTCTGGGCTCAGACTGCAGAGACCCTTGCTGGTCATGCAAAGGTCTTAACCCTAGAGTGACGAGAAGCCATGAAGGATTCTAGGCAGTGGGAGGCATGATGAGCTTCACATTCTGGAAAGTTCCCTGAGGCTGTAGTGTGAAGATATGGTAGGAAGGCAGGTGGCCAGGGTGAGAGAGGAGCTGGCTGTGGCCAGGGTGAGAGAGGAGCTGGCCTGCCCCAGGAGGTAGAAGCTTCTAGAGGTATTTAGCAGGTAAAGTCCATAGCACTTGGTGGGAGTTGGATTGGTGGAAGGGGGAGCAAGAGGGGAGATGAAGATGTGAAACCAGAACAAAGTGATCATGAGATTCGGTATCCATAGGCTCCAAGTTGAAGTCTAGTTATTTCTACTTTCCCCTGCATGATATGGGGCAAACCTCTCGTAGTCTTAGTTGATATGTTTTTAAAATGGGGAAAGAAGTCACCCCTTACCCCTTTTTCTCTGCCATTTCTGCTATGATGATTGGGTCATATTATGTGCGTGCAGAGCTTTGTCACCAGGGGCAAGGTGTTGCAGGTTTATTGATGAGAACGAGGATGCTGATGGTGACAGAGAACATGATTCCGGGGTTGGGGAGTGTTGCATTGCTCCACTCAGAGCTGCATCCTCAGCTTTATGGAGATCTTCTGGTAGGATTCTGTCCCACACTTAGAGATACATATTCTTATTCCCAAACTGAGTTCCAGAAACGCTTGTGCAAGGTCACCCAGAGGAGAAGGGTCAAAAGGCAGATTCAAAACATGGTTTGTCTGGATCTGAGACTCAGATCCCCACACCACGAGGCACTTAAGAAGGCAAAGGTACTGGCTGGGCGTGGTGGTTCACGCCTGTAATCACAGCACTTTGGGAGGCCGGGGTAGGTGGATGACTTGAGGTCAGGAGTGCCAGACCAGCTTGGCCAACATGGTGGAAACCCATCTCTACTAAAAATACAAAAAATTAGCTGGGTGTGATGGCACACGCCTGTAGTCCCAGCTACTCGGGAGGCTGAGGCAGGAGAATCTCTTGAACCTGGGAGGTGGAGGTTGCAATGAGCCAAGATCGCACCACGGCACTCCAGCCTGGAAAACAAGAGTGAAATTCCATCTGGGAAAAAAAAAAAAAAAAAAAAAGAAGAAGGTAAATGTACTTAGTGATCTTATCAGTCCCAACCCTCTTTGAGGCCAGGATGTGTGCTCTTCCTCACTCATTCCTTGGTCCATTCAGAAAATATGGATGGAGCACCTAATACGTGGCGGCCACTGTCCTAGCCCAGGAGATGCATCAGTGAAGAAAACACACATCTTCACCCACATGGCACCGCCCTTCCAGCAGAGAAGAGACAGTAAGGCGGGTGCATCTGAAAGAAGAAGACTGAGGCCTGTGGCTCTGGTTGAGGTCACTGAGAGAATGAGACTTGGCTGAGAAGATGTCCAAGGACTAGGTTCTGGGACATTCCTATGTCAAGGTGTCAGGGACAAGGCAAACAACCAGCGCAGGAGACCGAGGTGTGGTCAGGGAGGCAGGAGGGAATCCCAGGAGAATGTGACTCCCTGAACGCCACAGGAGGAGGGAGGGATCGACCTTATCAAATGGGGCTGAAAGGTCAAATGAGGTGTGGGCTGAGGAATGACCATTGGATTTGGGCACGTTGAAATCATTGGAGATGTAGACAGATGCATCTTGATGGAATGTTTCGGGTGATTGTCCAGCTGGAACAGCTTATAAGAAATTGGGAGAAGAGTCACCATCCAGTGAGTGAGTGCCGCCAGAAGCTTCCGCCCTATGGTGACCAGCAGAGGCCTCTGTCTGAGACTTTCATGGTGGATTCCTGTGCCTACATCCGGACAGGATTGTCTAACCAGTGAAGCAGCAACAGCATCTGATGCCTGCAGCTCTCCCTGGAGCAAGTTCACAGTGCAAATCCCTCAATTATTCCCAGAGAGCTTGGCTCTGCCAGTGACTGGCGCAGAGCTGACTTCCCTGCCCATCATGGAGGCACAGTGCCTGGTGTTCTGGGGGCCCATGAAAATGTGGTTTTAAATTGTTTTAAATTTTAAGGTCAGGGGTACATGTGCAGGATGTGGAGGTTTGTTATATAGGTAAATGTGTGCCATGGTGATTTACCGCACAGATTGTCCCATCACTCAGGTATTAAGCCCAGCATCCATTAGCTATTCTTCCTGATGCTCTCCCTCCTCACCCCACCGTGTGCCCAGCGTGTGCTGTTCTCTCCCAGAAAACGTTTTAATTTCTGGAACGAAAAAGAACTTTTAGGTCAAGTCAAGTGCAATTCTTTAATATATGCCTATATATTAAATTATATATACACACATATATGTGTGTATATATGTGTAATTTATATG